GTAAGGTTGTACTTTTGCTCACATTATGACTGTCACAACTTGAGAGATGTACAAGCACCTCTTCAGTTACTTGTCTTCTTTAACTGGCAGAACACAATTCCCTAATCTTTTAATGAGGGCAAAAGAGATAGCTTTCCTTTATATCATCTCTCCTAATGAACGCTTTATAATACTGTCCTACTTTACATGAAAACCTGGATTTAGCACAGAAACTTTCAGACGTGAAGGAAAAGACTGATCCAGCAGAGATAGGCTGACACCAAACAAGGTGTAGAATTGAGTGTGAGTAGGACTATAAATGTCTAGTGACAGCTGCTGATTCTGTGTCTTTTAGTATCTGTGCTGCTTGTCCACTTCCCGATCTTCAACTGATAAACTGGCTTTTGATGTTGGCTTGCAAGAGGACACAACAGGTGAGCACCTTGGCCCACAGTGAGCTGTATTCTGAGAAAATATGGCGGGGATTGGACTAGAAGCAGTCAATTGGATGGGAAGCAGTGGAAGAGACTTTAGATGAATATTCTGGGAGATGGAGTAAATGACTTCCCAAGAAAGGTTTTTTTTCTTTTTTAAGATTTATTTATTTATTTATACAAGCACTGGGTACAGTCAGAAGTGCGGGAGGGTGAGAGAATTCACCAGAGCCAGAGTGGAGAGCAGAACAGGCAGAGTGACGAAGTACACTGCTGAGGAGCAACGGGCAGCAGGAAAAGTCTGCGTGCCATGTGGGACCCTCGACCGGCGGCCGGGCATCGAACCGGCGCTGCACAGGCTGTGGGCAGCTTCGCAACCCAGCGCTCAACCTCTGCGCCAGTGGAGAGGCCCCAAGATTTTTAGTAGAAAGAAGTGTGTATTGTTTCTGTTGATTAGTCATCCTACATAATTAGCTAAAGGTTCAAACCAGGCTTTAAACGTTATTCTTTTGAATTTGGGTAGGAGAATAGACATACTACACATCTCACAGCTGCTGATAGTATTAAGTGCACTGATTAGTGTATGGAGTATCACTGTGTGTCTCTTTTATCTTTAAAATATCTTTTATTCTGCAAATGTAACATACTCAACGTCAATATTCAAATAAAAAGGTGGGAAATACAGGTTTCTTTCCTTTCTACCGATTTGTCTAAAGAGACATGTATTTACATATTTTTGATTCTTTCTTTTGGAGAACAGGAGATACTTAGACAAGTAGGAGAACATAGACTTGTGTTTCAGTTCTCAGTGCTATGAGGATTTTGCTCTTTAGACACTTCTGTAAGATTTGACTCTTTCATCTTTTACAATGCACATGCAGAACTTTCACACTTAAAAATAAATGAATGTACAAATAGAAAAATAACAGAAACAGCCCAACTCTTTTTCCCCCCAAAATCTATTTATTTATGCACACAAGAACTGGGGTACAGGCCAGAGGTGAGGGGTGTGAGAGGGTTCACCAGAGACAGAGGAGGGAACAGAACAGGCGGAAACGTACATGTTCTGTGAAACTTACTTGTTCTGCATCGCCAGTTCTCATGCCTGCCATTATGTTGCCATAGATTATTCATCATCAATGTGGTTATTCATGCAGATCTAGAAGGTTCCTTTTATACACCACTCAGAGGAGGCACAGAGCAATGTAATAACTGGCAAGTGCAAAATACGAATGATAGGTTAAAAATACACTGCTGAGGGGAGCAGTGGACAAGTCAGGGGAGGCCTGCTGGGCCATGTGGGTCACCTCCCTAGCCGGAGATCAAACTTGTGCTGCAGTGGCTGGGGACAGCTTCATAGGTTGCATCCTAACCCCTGCACCACCAGTGAGGCCTCAGTGAAACAGTCCAACACTTATTAACTTGTCCCTTCAGCTCTATCCCCACATGCCCCCTCCCCAAGCTTAAAAAATACTTTCCCATATACAAACAACAAATGGGTAAAAAAAAACTGTGTTTATCAACCTACTTAACTTTCTAATAGACCAATACATTGCTTTGTACCAGGAATTCCAAGATTGCCTCACACCAAAAGGATCAGTGTAGTATTCTGATTTTTATTTCATTTTATATAGACTTAATATAGACTTTGCATTTTTACTAGTTTGTTTGGTTTTCTCATTTTAATTGATTTACTTCAGTACACTCTCAAAAGAAGTAAAAGATGTGCATGATCTGTAAGTTGATTTCATATGTTGAGATGTTTATATAATAGTCAACAACAAAGCAAGGCACTCCCTCTTCCTACATTCTGATGCTCTTCGACTGCTGTTTCCCCCATCACTCTCTAGTCTCTTTTGAATTACTAAATTATTTATTATGTTTATTGTTTGTTATGTACCTGCTGTGATCAGAATTAAACTCACAAAGCAGATACGTTTTTCCTTGTTTATTGATGTATCCCCAACTATCAAAGCAATGATTGACAAGTAGTGGGGACTTAATAAATGTTTGAGTGACTGAATGAAAAGCTCCCTACAGCTGTAAAATGTGAATTGAGAGAAAGAAAATAAGGAATTCTGCAAAGTGACATTCAAGGTAGACTATGGTTAATATAAGAAAAGCTGCTCAGGGCAAGGATAACATATGGACTACAAGAATGCTTAAGAGACATTATCTTACGATTCATTTTCTCAATTATGCAAGATAAATTTTTCTGAGTGCCTCGTTCAAGCTGGACAACTAGTGAACAAAACATACAAAGTACCTGCTCTTATGGAACTGACATTTGGCAGTGAGAAATTAAAAAAGAAGTAAAATGTAAGTTTGATGGAAAAGTAGTAGAGAAGTGTTAAGGGACAGAATAATAATTATTAGATGACAGATATTACAAAAAAATCTCATTTTTGAATAGAACTTATGTTTAGGTTTTAAAAGGAATTTTGAACAGATTAAAAATTATGTGCCTATGTTTGTGTGTTAGGTAATGGAACTGTAGAATGAAGAGTGATTATACTTGACCTGAGGCTTATTTGATTTAACATACCCATTTAATTTTATAATGTATCTTTCTATAGTAAGATTCTCTTATATTTTACTCTTGCATTAATAAAAGCAAGAACACTTTAAAAGAAAATAAAAGTAGACACAGGATAAATTTAAGTATGAAAATTGTATACATCTGCTTGAACCAGCATAATATAGTTTCTAAAACTGTTATAATATGACTGTCATTTCACAAAACTGCTTTTGAAAACCCAGTGACAAGAAACAGATCTTATTACAGAGAACAATGTGAATCATGTAAGTATATATGATTGTATAAAGAATGAAGTCAAATCAGTATGCCTGGTGAATTTAGCATCAGTAAATATTCATTTTAAAGCAGTTTGTGGTGAGGAAAAGCTCACCAAACTTCGCTACATGGCATAACCAATTTCTATGAGAAGAATCTCTGCATTTCAGTATATCTTTCCCTGTGCTAATTTGGCCTAATTCTTTTGATTTTCACGGTCTATGAGATCAATTTATATTAATTTTCAAATTTCTGAAGGTTGTGTGAGTAGGGCAATTTCATTTTAAGGAGACTGATTTTGAAAGTTTATTTCATTTCCCCTTTTTACTTTAGAGTTATGGCAGAGAAAATCAATTTAAACTAAAGGTGCTTCTTGATTCACCTTTTTTATTAATTATTTTTTATTAATCAAAAATTTTTTTCTTACATCATTGTAGTCCATATGATCCAGTGATTCCACTCCTAGGAATCTACCCAAAGGACACAAAGACACTAATTCATGATTCACTTTGCAAACATTCTGCAGGTGAAGCTTGTTGGTGGACTATTCATCCTGCCTCAAAGCAGCGATCAGAAGGAGAAAAGGTTCGAGTCGGAGATGACCTCATCTTAGTCAGTGTGTCCTCTGAAAGGTATTTGGTAAGTGTGGATCAAGCACTTGGTCAATGATAAGGTAGATGACAGGTCAGTAAAATTATCTCTAAAGTTTAGATTGTAAAATTTCTAGGAAATTTGATTGAAACAAGTCTGTCTCCCTATTTAATGAGTTATAAATAACTCCTTAAGTAGAGGAATAATGTGTCAGGCTTGTCAGATTTATTTAGACAGGCTACCCTTGTGCCCTTGGTATGCATGTCCATGATATTAATAATGCCTATTCTTGGATTATTTTATTAATAACATGTACATTCAGTCTTATCTGGAATTCAAAATTCCACAGACTTTATTGTGTACCCAATGAGAAGACTGTATTAATGAGATTGTAATTATCTGTTTTGGTATTTATGGAAGTCAATTGCTATATGAGAAATACTTGCTATGTTAAGAAAGGAGAAATATACACAATGAAAAACAACTTAGTCTCTCATTGACTTTTGCCTTGATTCAAGGAGGAGGTATTGGAAATGGAAAAATGAAGAAAGTCTTTTTATGTTTAATCTTGGGAAGTATTTTTTTGGGGAGGGGGATGGCCCATATATTTAACTTATTTAGTAAATTGTATTTTGTAAAGAATAATCATGTACAGAGTTTGCAGAAGATTGAAATGAGTGGAAATGTGAAGGATTCCAGTGCAAATACTCTTTTTTTGTTGAAGATGACAAAAGTAATTAAACAAATGTAAATTACATGAATATCCACATGAACATATTCTAGGTAGCAGAGTAGATTGTGATTGAACAAAAATCAGAAATAAAGCTTCTTCATAGTTTAGTGCACACTGGGATATAGAAAGTATATAACAAATCAAATTATTTGGTACAATTGATTTGGGATTGAGTAAGCAGTTGGTAACCCTTTACTCTATGGACCTGGAAGTAGGGTGATATGGGGGGTGTAGCAAATCAGTTTTAATTACCTACACGTTTTGTTCCCGTTTTGAAACATTCCTAGGAAGAAAGGTTGTTTCACTTGTTTTATAGAGCAAAGTAATGATGAAGACAGGGAAGTGCTGAAAAGTGCCTCTTGTAACTGACAGAAACTGTTACATTAAATAGAGTATCTTATGTTGCATAGCCATAAGGAGGCCTTGGTACAGCTCTCTGTTTTAGTCTCTTAACCAATGTAGGTAGAAACAGTTACTATGCGTACTTCTTGGACAATACAGGTGTGTTCGTTGGTCAAGTAAGTATTTTTATTTGTATTCTTTTAAAAAGATTTATTTATTTATACAAGAGCTGGGAGTACAGGCCAGAGGTGCGGGAGGGTGAGAGAATTCACCAGAGACAGAGCAGGGAGCAGAACAGGCAGAAGGAGTGAAATACACTGCTGAGGGGAGCAATGGGCGGGACAGGAGAGGTCTGCCACACCATGTGGGTATCTCCCTGACTGGCTGGAATTGAACCGGCGCGCAAAGGCTGCATACAGCTTCACAGCGCTGCACTCAACCTGCTGTGCCACCGGGGAGACCCCCAAATAAGTATTTTTAAAAATATTTTCTTACAACATTGTTCTCCCTTCCGTTGTAGTCCCCCTAGTTTTCCCACCACCATAGATCACTGTGATCTATCACCACTGTCCCTTGTGCTCTTCCCTCCCCTGATTTGACCCTTCTCCCTCCTGCTCCCCTGCTATAAGACTCAAATCTGTGGTCTACCTGCAAGTTCTGTCTTTTTCCTTGGCTTTTGTTTGGTTTTCCTGTGTTTCACCTATAAGTGAAACCAGTCAATATTTTTTTTTCCTTCTGACTTATTGAATAAGTATTTATTAAACCCTTGCTGTATACATGTGCTGTGTATGTTAAGGTGATATATTTTGATCAGGAGACACATTTTATCTATCTATCTATCTATCTATCTATCTATCTATCTATCTATCTATCTATCTATCTATCTATATTTTACATCATTGTTCATTTTTTAGCAATGTGTGCTTTCTTTTCTCAGGTGTAGCCCCCATAGAATTTCCACCAATAATTCACCCATGCACTATCACCACAATCCCCTGTGCAGATCCCTCCCTTGTTCTGATCCCTCTCCGTCCCCCTCCCTGGAGAATATCTCTAGTTTATAATTTTCTGTTTATTTTCGTTTGAGATGCACATTTTAATTTGTAATTTTACTTGGAAACCAAGAAGAGCAGTAAAAATAATACATGCAAACTTTTCAATCCTAAATTATAACTATATCTTATAGTTATACAGAATATTTTACTATTCTACATGCTCACTACTGGTCAGCCCCAGTAGAAGTGTGAGATAATAATTAACCATTTCCATACTCTTAGGAACTTCCTTAATATATAACCTAAACTGTAATATTTATTCACTATTTTATAGTGTTCTCATAAAGATCCTCTTTGATTAGTTTTGTTGTTTTTTTAATCTATATTTTTGTATAGCTATGCATGCTTTTACTGTACAACAAGTGTGTTTGTTACACATAGCAGAGTATTTGGATAGGATGACGTCCTTATGCAATAAGGAGTAGAAAATTTGGAATCTCACAGAGTCCAGGGTATTGATTTTGCCACTAAATACCTGAGAGAGTCCCTTAATTTCCTGAATTCTGACATTCCTCCTCACTATGGGAGGTGGAGGGAGATGATTAGGGTCAAAACAAGGGAGGTGGGAATTGTGTGGGGAATATAACCTAAGATGAAAATGCATACATTGTGCAAAAATGAAAAATGATGTAAAAAAATATATAAAATAAAATAAAAAAAAATATGTAGGGTTCAGGTGTCCTGCATTATAACTCAATTCCTATATATACCACATTATGATAGCTACTTAAATCTAGTTTCCATCCACCAATGTTCAATTGACCACCTTTACCTGACTCAGCCACAGTCCCCTCATCCTCTGGTAATCAACATTTTGTTCTCATAATTAAAGAGTTGCTTTTGTTTTGGAAAAAAAAATGTTGATGCTTATACTTAGCATCAGGGTTACTGTAATGAATCAATGGGGTAATAAATTTGAATATGTTTTGAATTTAAAAGTGCTGTTCAAATAATAGCAATAATAGTGCATGTTGTTCACCCTTTATTACCTTGGGAGATAAATAAACCTCATGATGAATTAAAATCCACAAATAGTATTCAAGCTACATTTTAGACAATTTGTTTCCTTTTTGGGTAACCTTTTATATAGTGCTAAAAACAGTAACCAACTAGATTGTTAAAATTTCATTTTCCATTGGTAATGAAGTCAGTGCATTTAGTGGTCCTCTCTATGGACATAGCATATAGTAGACCCGAGAGGAAAGGCCAAGACCAGGTAAAGACTACACATGGTTTCTGCTCTAAAGAATTAGAAAAAAGAAAAAAAACAACAACAAAACCAATCAAATAGGATCTTTGTGAGGATACTATAAAATAGTCAATAAATGTTACAGTTTAGGTTAGCTATTAAGGTAGTTCCTAAGGGTATGGAAATGGTTAATTTATTATCTCACATTTCTACTGGGGCTGACCAGTAGTGAGCATGTAGAGTAGTAGAATGTTCTGTTGATGGATGCAAGGACCTATATGGTGCTTAGTGAGAATAAGCAAAAGGTCAATAAGTGAGATAGTAAAAGGACTTTGAGAATAGACAGCCTTTATAATCCACATAGAGCTGAACTAGTCCACCTCCCTCCTACCCTCCTCCATTTTATATGTTGAGCCTTTGCATAGAATTTCCTGGAAAGAAAGGGTCATATCACTAAAAATGGTTATAAACCAATCATCCAAATAATGTCTTTTCTCATTTGTTGTTTCCTATTCTGTTACAAAATGATATCTTAATCCTCTTTTTGGGACTATTGGAGAGGAAAGAAAAAAACTTCCTAAGCCCCTGTTGGAAATATTTATTTTTTTCTTTAAGAGAAGGCTTTAGCAATGCAACTGAAAAATAAAGAGAAATATATAATTTAAATAAAGAAAACATGATCCAAGTAGGTATCACTGAGTGTGAAAATAATTCAAACTAAACAAAACAAGGAGAAGCATGCGAAACAATTTCACTTGGATTAGAAAGATGTAAAATCATCCCAGTATGCCCAGGAGTTTTCAATCCATGAATTCAATTGCCTGCATTGAGAACATTGATTTTTGACTAATTTTTTATTAACTGGGTAACATATAGAAACAGCTTTTTAAGGAACCAGGAAAATATTGTCAAACAACTCTTCTGAAAGTAATTTAGGAAAAAGAGAACCCACAAATCTAAGAGAGATGAAAATGCTAACAAGCTATTCTAGGTTTATAAGAATTTACCTGACCTCTCTCCTACTTACAACTGAATTTCTGAAAGAAATAGTGTTTGAATTTTTTAATAAGTTGCTGAATTCTTTCAAGTTGCATAAAATATTAATGACTAAAAAGACAACAAGGAGATATTTTCAAGCTATTTATTATACCGACTAGTACATTTTAGATTGATTTACCTTGGGCCTTTTTCCCTCTTTGTGGCTGGCTCAGTTGATGAAATTGTAGAATATTACATTTGGAAAGAGCATCTATTCTATGCTCCTGGTGTTTTCTCGGAACAAGAACAACCATGAAGCCCAAGGGGTAATATGTTTTGTTTACTAGTATTTCCTGCCATTGGGTGATAAATTATCCAGATTATTGCATCACAAGGGCCCAAGTTTCTGATACTTAAAAGAAAAATGAATAAGTAAATTAATGCTTCAGATGAGGACTTACTTCAGATCTTCTTAAAAATTTTAGTGCCCTTTGGCAATCTGATAAAGATTCCTGATTTCTAGTCACCATAATGTTTTTAAAATGGTAAAATAAATAGATAGGATTACAAGGAAAATATCAAAATACATACTAAAAATATCAAAGTACAATCCAGGTTATAACTCCAACTAATTTATAATATCTTTTCTATTTCTAAGATTTTATGCTTCTAGTATATGATGCTTGTTATTCAGAACACAGTTCTTGGAGCAGTGGCCTTGGTTGATCTCCCTCTCACCTCCTGCATTTTTGTTACCATTTTTTGACGAGATCTTTCAATGATTCATGTGTATTGGAACTTGGGAGTCACTAACATAAACATCAAGCTGAGACCAGGGAGCAAATCTATGCCCAAAGTCCCTGCACTGCTGCTAGTGTGTTGATGTTAGCATGTTATTGTATAAATCCTGCAGTAGTTACATATTTCAGCCTAAGGCCAAATTTGCTTTCAACCTCTGACAACATCTATTTTTGCTTTAAGGATAACTCATATTAGTTTCAATAATTGAAACTGCTACTGCATTCTGAATATTTAACATCACAGGCCTGACTAGACATTGCCCTTACTCACATCTCCCTTTGCTGTTTAAGCAGCACAATTAAATTGAAGCATCCCAAATAGTTCTGTCTAGAGAATATTTTCTTTAAAAGGACATTATTTAGATATCTTTTTATGATGTAATATGATTTTAAAGACATTTTTGACTTTTTCCAACAGGCTGAAAATTTCATATTTTTTATGGCTCATATTTATTATTTACCTGTGGGCTTAGATGTGATTTGAAAATTGCATTTTAGCCCTCTTCCTCCCCACATTATTTTTTCAATGCAGTAGCTTCTAATTGCCTAAAGTATGAGGTCCTTTATCTAGCTCCTGTTTGCTCTGCAGACCACTCTCTAACTCTATTTCTGAGTGTTTCCTTAAGCCCCAAAGATAAAGCTCACTGTTGTACTTCATCTCCATATCTCTCCAGAACTCACACACACTCTTGGTTATATCATCCTCCTAAGCAGAGCCACTTTGATAACCAGGGAGATCCAACACACTTCCAACTACATTTTTGTCTAAACTGGTTTACAAAAATTTATGTTTCCAACACAGTATGTTAACATTAACACACATACCCAAAACGGGTGTGTCCAAACTTATTTGGAGACACCATCTTGAAGGATATAAATGTGAAGCCAAAAGATTCTATTAGCTCCTCGAATCTGTTATTCCCTCGAAATACCATTTATCCTGTGAAAATACCATGTCCAGACCCATTAGGATGAACTGTGTTCCAATTAGTTTGGCTTAATGTGCTCTTTTCCCAATTCTTGTAGCACTTTGATGTCAATTCACCGAATATTTAAAAAATACTGTCTTGCAGCAATTTGTGTATATATTTTACCTTCTATTTTGGATGACAAGCACCCTTTGGGTGGGGAATGCATTCTATTAATATTTAGCACAATGCTTTATACATAGTATATTCTATGACTCATGGTGAGTGAACAGATCTATTGCAATATGGTATGAGCTTTTACTTGAATTCAAAAGTAAAAACATAAGCACCAGTATTTTGAATTGTCTTCTGATGGCTTGGTAAAATCTATTTTTTATAGTTTTTTGGGTGGTATATGCTGTTATTTTGCTCACATCATTGAAACAGGACCATTTATGGAATAACAAAATATTTTTTAACTGTTACACTACCTGTAAAGCACTGGCTTATTTACTTTGTTTACCAAAGGGAGAATGAAAAATACACTAATTATTTTGTGTAATAGATTTTTCTTGTTTGTGGATGCAGATGGCAAATGTATTGGTAAATGGTCACGGTATTTTAACATTGGGGAAGAAATTAGTTCAATACAGGAATCTCAGCTAGGATTATACATAATAATGACAAAGTGAGGTGAAGCAGAGGTTATAATAAAAGAGGTTATAATATGGTTGAGTTGAGGAGGGCTATTAAACCAAGTTATTCTAAGTGTAACGCATCAGCTGATGAGCTAATGCTATTGATTAAGTGATTTATTATTAAGTCAGCGTTTGTTATTTATTAAATTATTCAATAGTTTTAAATTATTGAAAGCTAATACATGTAGGTCAAATGTTGAAATTGCTTTGGTTTTGTGTTTAAGAGAAAGAAAATGAACTGTTTTTGCAGGTTATTTGGAAATAGTATATTTAGGTGAAAGAGATCCATAGGACATTGAAAAATTTGTAGAGTATAAGAGTGTGACTACTTCATGTTGTGATTGCTCTTCATCTAACTATGGAAGTCTTTTAAAGCTGAGGCTGTCATCAGCATCAGAAAAGTGTTGCAGAATCATTGCAAGGATGCTTGTGATGTTTCCTGTCATGATTCCAAGTTCCTGGTGTGTTTGAAATTCTAGAGGCAAGTCTTAGTTATTAGGAAAACAAGCAAGGCATTTGACGATACTCAATTTTTCTTATTCTTTGAAAACTCATACATTATGACTTTCATAGATATGAAATATATTATTTAAATTTATTAATATTTAATGAAGGAAAATGACATTTTTAATAGCTGAATTTTGGAGGAAATGTATTGTTCCTATTTTACATACCTACTAGGAAATATCGCCATCTAATGGAACATATATAAAATTGCAGATAAAAGTTCCTAAAGGACCCCATATAATTAAGACATTGGTCTAGCAGATTTCACATATTTCATTGTCAAAAAACTGTCACACTGACAGGTAGAAAGCATAATAATCATTTTAATAGTAAGTGCCTACTATCCATACAAGTTTTCCCATCAATAATCTTTAAAAAAAAGTCTGTTTTTACAAGTAAGTTCATTTTAGTTTATTTGTTTGTGTGTTTTCTGGCTAGTGCCTTAGGTAGCTCTTAGAATGAAAAAATGCCTGAAGTTAAATAGAAACACATTTTCTTCTAGTATCTTAATTTTTAAGTGACAGGGTTGAATAGACGTGCTCTGTGGCCATTTCCAAATGTGCAGCGAAAGTCTGAGTTGCTTATAGCACTTACGTGTTAAGTCTCACCCAGACCCTCAAGTGATGCCTCATTTTGCCTCCAATGCAGCACTTGTCCTATGGCAATGGCAGCTTGCACGTGGATGCCGCTTTCCAGCAAACCCTCTGGAGTGTGGCTCCAATCAGCTCAGGAAGTGAAGCAGCCCAAGGTAAAAGCTCCACTTCAATTAGAATCTTGTCCTTGATGAGAAGTTGACAATCACCTTTGGAATTGTGATAATGAACTTTTTATATCAAAATATTATGTAATGATGATACATGACATTTAAGAATCTTGTTTAATGGCTATTTAAAAGTGAAGACTGTGTTAAGATTTATCTTTCCTTATTTTTACACTGTTATCGGCTTTAAGCTTTACTGTCTTTTTTGTACTAGCTTTTTAGGGGTTGTTTTCTCCCATGTTTTGACCTCAGGGTATTGTTCAGTTAGGCTAATGTCAAGATTTATCATCTTCGAAGTAGAGGACTTAGAACTGGATCATGGCAGTGTTTTATACTTCAGGGATTCCCTGGAAATACCTGTATTTGTTCTGATTGTTTCTCACTTACCTTTCCATGCTTGTGGGTTTAGTGGAGTCCCATATGGGGTTGAGGGCATGTTATCTAATGGGAATATCCTTTATCATGGGATTAAGAGACCAGAACTCAGAGGTGGCAGCTGACAACCATCCATCTCTGTGACTTAAGCCTTCCTAGACTTCTCTTTCTCTGTCCATGAAAATAGAAGATTGGAACACATGTGCTGTTTGCATTATCAACATCTGATCATGACAGTTCGAAGGTGAATGATTCTCAATCCCTACAGGGTATCTGATTGGTGGCGACGTCCTCAGGTTGCTGCACGGACACATGGACGAGTGCCTCACTGTCCCTTCTGGAGAACACGGCGAAGAGCAACGGAGGTTGGTACTCAAACCTAGCGCCTTGAGACTGGCATTTTATTGCCTTGATATAATTTTTGCAATTAAGGATATAATCAGCTATTAATAGGTATGCTAAATAAAGCAAAAATAAGCTCTTGGACTGGAAGACCAAATAGTGGTTAGCAAAGAGAAGAAAGTGAATAAGGTCAAAGGGGATAATGGTATGGATTCTGCAGAATGGAACTGGACGTAGTGGTGAGCTGAATATAGTTTATATATGTGTTGATTTCCAGCAGTGCATGCCCAAAGCTTACATAATGTTATATTGCAACATTACCGCAATTAAAAAAAAAGTAGGCCATTAGCTGTCCCTTGAAGAGATCCATTTGTTGACCTCCTTAGAGGATATTTTTTCATGCTATTCTTTCATTACCTGTCAAAGAAAAGCTGATATTTTTGTGTTATTAAAACAGGGTTAGAAGAACTGAACAGAATAAACTGAGTGGGAGTTATGAACACATTATACCAAACTACTTAAAACTTCATTAAATGTTCATTAGTTATGATTAATACTCTTTATGCAGTGTTTTATGTCAAATTCAGTTTTAAGTCAAATTTCTTCAATTGCACAAAACTTTAAGTCCTTTTTCTGTGACCTCCATCTATGACATTGAAATAAAATTGACTGCTTTTTCTAATATTTTATGTGATTATAATATCTGCCTTGTGTTAATGTTATCTGCATTGGGCCACAAATGAAGTAGTCTGGATTCACTGGGAAAAGTGCATAAATAATACAAATATTTAGGGTTGATTTGAAAGCTCTGCTTTTTTTCATGAGTTAATGGATGAATATATGAACATTGTCAATTAAATACTTAAGCAAGATATTACAGTAAGAAAATGCAAACACATTGGATAAATTGTTATGTACTTTAAGTTTTCCATTGGAAATTTCTCATAATAACGTAGACTTAGGTAATTTTTGTTTAATAAATATTTAATTTTGTAATGTAAAAAATATATAAGGAGCATTTAGAAAGTTATACTCATTTAACTAGCTGTTTATCCTTGGCAAAAGCCTCTTGGAGACCTGGGTATTAGTCTTATTTCTCTCATCAGCTGGACCGGATTGGGAAAAGAATGAAGGCGGAGCCTGGAAAAATTCTGTAAACTCAAACGGCTGCATTTAGTAGGTTAGGAAGAAGATGTTGATGGTGTTGATGGATTTGTATAAAAGAGGGTGGGCACTTGACTTGAGGAATTAATTCCAAATGAAAGCATTAACATGCAACTCAAAGAGATGTCAGTTTATTCTGGGAATAGCAGTTGTTCCAGAGTGATGAAGGACAGGAGGGAAGAAAAGATGGAAACTGAAGGAGAGAGTGGTTTGATCAGCTTTTGAAGGATCCTTAGTGCTATTTATGTGGGCTGGCTTTGTACTCTGAGGTAGGTAGGGAGGAGTGTGGGGGAATGGGGGTGAAATGTTCAGATCTCTTTTTTAAAAGTAGTTGTGTGGGCGAGAGGAGCTTAGATCAGAGGTGGAGAGAGTCTGAAGAGGGAAACCAACTATGGGAAGGATGTTGTAGTGGTTCATGTAAGAGAAAATGAGAGGTCTAACCCAGAGCGCCCATCAGAGAGGAAAGGAGTCCCTGGCCTAGAGACATTTTAGGTCAAATGTGGGCTGAGAAAGAAAGGTATGAAATCAAAGGCAATCTAATGTTTCTGACTCATGTAAAAAGAAAAGTGCTAAGAGTGCAGGAGATGCACATAGTTGATATAAAGAACAGAGTTAAATTTGTAAATTTTTGATATTGGTGACTGCAGAGAGTCTATGGGACATCAAGCAGGTAATTGGATTTCTGAATCTTCATCTTCTAGACAAAGCTTGAGTTGATTATTAATCCCAAGTGTACAGGGGTAGTTGAAGTAATGAGAAAAAGGAAGAGCCATGATTTTAGCGGGGTGTTTATCAGTTTGGACATTGCTTTTAAAAGGCTGCAAAATCTTGAAATAGAATAACCAGGGAGAGGATGGCAGATGGAATTCTAGAGAACACTGATATTTCAGATGTGGATAAGTGAAGGAGAGTGAGCAAGAGAATTGGATGAGGTTAAGTGGATAACCAGGGAAGTAAGTCATGGAAGCTAAAAGAGACCCAGGGTGTTGGTGAGATAAAGGCTACAGTTGTTCCTTATAGATGTAGAAGCAACAACAGGCCCTGTCACAGTTGTATGGACCTTTATTCTCTAATTTGTTAAAGGAAACACTTAGACCAAGTGATTTTTAGAACCTTTCTACTCTTTCTACAGACACTACAGAGGTAGGTGGTTTGGAAAACTCTAGAGCTAAATAGAAGTGTTTGGGCCTCAGTTCTGACACTTGCTGGTTGGGTGACTTATGCAGGTGCTATCAGAGGAAATCCTCCTTTTTTTTATTTCATAAATCTTTATTTTTTTTTTAATTTTTTTTTGCAAACCTCAAGGTTTTATTTTTTTAATAATAAATATTTTTTTTATATTCCCCATACAATTTCAACCCCCCATTTTTTTTTAAAGTTAATGAAATAGGTATCTGGTGAGGAAGGTCTATTCATTCCTGCTAAGATTTACAAGTTAGAGGTGGAGCAGTTTTTATTTTAATAGTTGGATATTTTCTTCTCCAAATAAGAATATTCATTATCTGATAGATCCTAGATTCCCCAGACTTAGCTTTCTGCCAGTGACTGCTGTTTTCTACATCTCTTGGGCAATAGAAAATCAGCATTCGTTGTATTGAATAGGGTACTTATAGTGTGGGTTTCTTGCTAATTTTCAAATGGCTGGTTATTATTGCAGAGAAAACTAGTGGACATTTCACAGTTATTTTAATATGTTCTGGACCCACTTTTAGATTGCATACCTATTGAATTCCCCCCCCATGTTATTATTAGTCATGTAATTTTCATGTTAAATTGATATCAGTGTGTATTCAGACCAGTGTATCACAACTTACCCAATTAGTAGGGTCAGTAAGAACATGTCCATTTGTGCCCTGTGTACGGCATGTCTACATGGGTGAAATTAGATTAAAATAGATGTTAGATCATGACATGAGGGAGAAAATGAGTCAGACATATGCAGCAGGAGCCTAAAGAATATTGCTTAGAAGTTGTATTTGGCTTAATTACATTGTGAGATTGAGCAAATTTTTGCCCATAATGATAAAAATAATTCTTTTAACTTCACTTCTATAGAGTACTTTATCACTTTAAATCTTGTTAATGTCATTGTGTGATTTTTCCTCATCCCCTCTGTTTTTACACAAAATTCCTTTAGCGTCCTTGGGAACATAGTGTAGAAAAGGACAGCACAGCCTGGAGGCAGCATTTCCATAATTGATAGGAATCTCTGTTGGGGGATAAAATGTGATGATAACATAAAGATATATTTTGATTCATTTCTTAAAACGGAGCAAAAATAACTGAAATTAGTGGGCAGTGGTTTGAAAGCTGGAGAAGTTCCAGGGAAATAAGTAAAAATTTCTTTCTACTCACAGCTCTCTGCTGTAATTACAATCTGGCTATCCATTAGTTGTATCCTGTTATTAAAGTTAAATAAAGTCAAATCTGGTTTGTTATAAGAAGTAGTGGAAATGATTGAAGAGATGGCCAGAGTGACATCTACTTCTGAATAATTAAGAACATTTTGGTCATGATTGCTTTATTCCTAAATGGATTTGTCAGTCTACTTATGCCTCATTCCATTGACAGTTTTGAATATACATAACTATAATTGTAGCAGTTGAAAATGCAGTTCAGTGATGGAGTCTGCAATTCTAGATACAGATGCTGTTATCTTTAACTTCCTTTACACATTTAGATTTGTACGTGTATGTAGTTTCCTATGTGTTTTCACAAGAGAATTAATTAAAACCTTAAAATGCATATTCTAGCCCTTTCAAATAAGTGGAATTGAATTGGAGAATGAAACCTACTAAGGTTAAAATGAATGTATATTTCATCCCAACTTCTGTCTATATAGAGTCTATGGATTGAATTCTCAATGGCTGTGAAATAGAGCAACAATAAAAGTAATAAAATATTATAGATAGAAACAGCATCTGAATGAAAGGAAGAGATGTATCGAACATTTATTGTTACATATTTTCTTAATTCTCACTCAAACTCTCCACATACCAAGTTAGGATAAATTAAGGTGAAAAAGGGTCTGGTACTTGACAAAGGATTTGTCAGATGCAGCATAGTGTTTTAATTATTTAATTATTTATTTTATATATATATTTCTTACATCGTTTTTCAGTTTTGCACAAACATTAATTATTTTTTTAAATAAGCTTTCTTTCTGGAGATGCAAATTAGAATTTTTATTTCAAGCATGAAATATTATATGTGCAGAGCATTTTCTGTTCTATCTCTGTATGCCATCTTATTTCCATCAAATTTGATATAACATAGTAAAATATCTACAACTGTATCTTTTATATGCACACACTTCGATTAAATATACATGATCTGAATTAACTATGCTATGCTTATGGTAGTATTATTTGAGACCTCTAACTTGGAAACCAGTATTTGGGCAACATTTTTTGAAAAGTGTTATTTGTATGTTAAGACTGGTTTTGCCACATACCTCATAGGTGGTTTTAGTGATTCAATAAAAATTTCTGAAATGACTATCGTGTTCTGGGTGCTGGGATTATAGTAGTATGAAGATTCAAAGTCTTTTCTCAAGGATAAGTATTGAAAACTTATAAATGCACACACATATCCATGAATGCATAGATGAAACACACTAGGTGATAAGTAGAGAAAAATCCTATGGAGAAAAACAAAAAAGACAATGTGCACACACATGTCTGTGTGTATGTATTAGGGAGACAGAGGCACAAGAGCACAGACTGAGGGAGAGGTTGTGTTGTTTTCATCTTCTCAAACATTACTCTTGGCTTATACCAATCCTGTCTTGTTATTTTCAAATGCAGGACAATTAAGTTATAGTCTCTGATCATATCTGGAAGTAACTGTTACATTTGCT